AGGCGGGAGAGCGGGGGCCGTGCTGCTCTGTGGTTCATTTACGTTGCCGAGAGGCCCTGGCCTTTTGGTGGGGTTGGGAGAGGCTTTGTCCTCTCTGCCCCACATGAACCTCGGGTTTGGCTGTCGTCTGTGGGGCTTCAGCTCGTCGCGTTGCAGGGGGCGCGGAGTGGGAGTGGGGGAGGACTTAGACATCCCGCCCGCCCGCGCGGGTTACACGGGAGGCGCCGGGTCCCACCCCATAGACGAGAAAGCGACCAGAATTGACAGGTTCCGCCGCAGATAGTATCTGCCTCAGTGTGGCCAGAGTGCCCGTCTTAGAACTGTTAGAAATTATGTGCAGATACTGGCTGGTGGTGGAAAACAGTTTGTTGAATGACTCAGTGCCCCCAGGAGACCTTAGGAGAGCTCTGAAATAAATCCTCAGTAACAGAAATGCTGCAGTGCTAGGGGTTTGTTTATTCATTCAGCCACCAACAGGAATGCCTGTGCTGGGCCAGTGGTGGGACAGAGAGGGACCAGCTTGAGGAGCGCATTTGGGTTTGAGCCTGGGCCTTCTGAGATTGGATTGGCCTTCATCTGGTGGGCCTGGGAGGGGTTGGGGAGTAGGGTGGGGTCCCAGCATACAGTACCCCCACCTTTTCAGGCAACTGCCTCATTCCACTGCCAGGCTTGCCTGCCCTTCCTGCCAAGTCTTCTCTGCTAACTCAAGCCTCACTCAGTGAGTGGCATCACAGCTGTCCTCTTTCTAGAAGGGAGCTGAGGGAATTGCAGATGGATGTGGTTTTTCCACATTCCATCTCCACCCATCTGGGTCACATGGCAGGCTCCGACTTGAGGAGGACAATCCTGGGCCTGAGTCTATGCCATCTTGGGACCTGGGAGTCCACTGGGAGTAACTGTTTTGGAACAGAGTCAGGTCTCAGAGCTAGGAGGAAAGATGGAGAGGAGTCGTGTGGTTTTAAAGGTTAGGTTGACGGACTTCTAGTGAGGCATCATTGGGAAGAGAACACCTGCTGCCCAGAGTATGAGCTTTTTTGTCCTTCCTGGGGTGGGGGTGGGGGCACAAGGAGAGGTGCAGGGCAGCGCCCACAGGAGGCCTTCATAGCTGGGGCTTAAAGGCAACATCTCACAGGCTTCCTTCACCACTCTGGGTGCCTGTACTGTGCTGGGCATGGAGATTCACAAGGACAGGATGCTATCTCATGGGAATGGAGACACAGACTGGTGACTGTAATACGTTGTTGGGATGCAGGCCTTGGTGTTGTTTGCTGCAAAGAGCTGTGGGAACATGAAGTGGGTTGCTGTTAGTTGCTGTTTTTTTCAATTATAGTTTATAGTCAATATTATTTTGTATTAGCTTCAGGTATACAGCATAGTGGTTAGATAATCACATACTTTACAGAGTGTTACCCCTGATATTTCCAGTACCCACCTGGTACCATACATGGTTATTATATTATTATTGACTATATTTCCTATGTTGTACTTACATCTCCATGGCTGTCAATCTGTACTTTTCAATCACTTCACTTTTTTCATCCAGTCTCCCAGCCCCCCTCCCAGGTTGTTGTTAGTTTCATATGAGGAAGGTTAGGTTATCTGAGGTGGACTCTGAAGGATGAATAGGAACTTGCCAGCAACAGAAGAAGGAAAAGTGCACTCAGGGCAGCACAGGGAATGCTGGGAGGGAGTTGTCTAGATGGAAAAGGGATGTCTCCAGGTGGGAAGGGACATTACACACCCTGCTCTGAGGCCTTGCTCAGGGAAGCTCACAGCCTTAGCCAACCTGGGAGACTAATTGAGGATCTGGAGGTACCACTTATTTGTAAATGAGAATGGCCTGTTCAGGAGCTCCAGGCGCCTGGACTCAGGAAGGATGAGGGCATACAGGGGAAGAAGAATATTTGATGATAGAGCCTTCCAGGGCAGGAGTCTTGAAGGGTAGTGAATGATGTTCTCTTTCTGTCTAGTGCTTAGTAGAGGGATTGGGGACCGAAACAAGAGGCTCTAACTGACAATTTTCAAGGCTAAATAGCCATCCTAACCTAATGTCTTGGTGGTGGTACCCAAGGTGCTGGCTCTGGACTGTCAGCTCATGAGAACCCTCACTCTAGATTTGTGACCACAGGAAGTACTTTCACCTCAGGTGATCATTTGCCAGGCTGGGGCTGTGGAGGTCATCACAGGCCTGGAGTACCCCCTGAGGCCAGCTGCCCACCCCATTGGGCCTCCCATGCACAGGATCTGAGTAATAGCCCCTTGACTGCCACAGCTGGCTGGCCACCCCCAGAGGCCACATGTATTCTTGCCGAAAGCCACTGATAGGTCTGAAAAGGACAGCTAGTTGAGGATTGTGATGCTCAGCCATGACAGACAAAGCCCACTGTGAGTCAGATGCACGCAGAGAATTTTACATGCATTAATTACCTCGTTTGGACATCATGGGAACCAGAGACTAGGTTATCTCTGTTCTTCAGATAGGAAAACTGAGGCATGGAGAGGTTAAGTAACTTGTCCAGGGTCACAACTGAGGGAGTCAGACTCTGGAATTCCAGCTCTACATACTGCTCTGCCTGGATTCCCAGCCTCTCACTGCTCCATTCCCCAAATAGGGCCCATCCACCTTTGTATCTCATACCTGTTAGATGTTTAGAGTGAGGAGCAAAGAGAAGGATCATGGTCTTTCTGTGATTTCCCCTCCCTTGAAGGTAGCCCTGGTGACAAGGCAATAATGATGTGTACGGGAGAGAGTGATGCTTTACTGGTCACTGTCATGGACGCTTTCCCTGGGATGTCTCCTCAAGAACCATCCCATAGGCCCCTCAGCTCCCCACACCTGACTCAGCCCTTCCCCTCCTCTTCCTGCCTACATGGGTCAAAATGGGGAAGTTTCAAGTGTAAGGCAAACATCATTTGGATGAAGCACAAAACAACCACTTTTGGAGGTTCTGCTGCCTTGCAAATCAAATTCTATGTTGGTTTTTTGGGTATTTGTGTCAAGGATCCTAGAAGCTACCAACTTAGAAGACAAGGAAGTGGTTTGTTTTAAGTTACCCCCTCCCCTCAGTATTCCTATCAGTTTCTGGATGGTGGAAGTGGTTTTGGAGATGGAGTTTCAAAGGGGAAAGGAGTACCTTTGAAGTCATAAACCAGGTTTAAAAGGAGATCACTTACCTCTGGCCCACAGAGTAGGCTGTCTGCCCTGGTGGAAGGATGTGGATTCCCAGGAGAGGGCTGCACAGAAGTGGAGCTGCCGCCATGCAGAGAGAGGCCTGTTTGCCAGAGTCATCATGGAGCTTTTTACAAAGCTTCGTGCCTGGGCTTCTGCCTGGTCTAGACAGGAGCTCCTGCCCTGCTGATTGCTGTGTTGGTCAGTGGGCAGGTCAGCGTTCACCTTGTATGCTCATGTCGTTAACAAACTACCTTTGTTCAGAGGAAGGGACCTGAGTGCTGTGGCCTGGGTCCATGGCTGGAGTTCCAAATGCAGTGCGTGTAGGGAGTCCAACTTGCTGAATCTCCCCATGCTTGTCCTATATAGACCCTTGGCCCTGAGCTTATCTGAGGCCAACGATAATGTTGTTGTATTTCTGTCAATGGGCATCTCCGTATCTGTACTTGGTTTAATTTGCATAACCACATATCTCATTTTACTTCTCATGCTAATTCTGTGAAGTTCTGCAGATGTGAAACATCCATGGTGGGGGTGCTTCTCACATATATGCTCATGTTTGGACAAGTGTTCAGGAGGCTGCAGCCCTGGGTCCAGGACTGGCCATGTCCCAAGAGCTTCTGCTTGGATTCCCTACCCCAACCTCAACAACCCCCCTCCCCAATGAACACAAAGTGAAAGAAGAGACTTCTGAGTGGCCATTATATGTTGGGCACTTTCCCTTAGAAAACAAGGAAGTGGTTTGATCCCATGAGGCAGGCAGTGTCCTTTTTTACAGATGGAGAAAGTGAGGTTATGTGGCAGGTGCAGAGCCAGCTGTGACCCTTCCACCTGTCCACTTTCAGAGTTTCCCTCTATGAGATAGGAGTACATGGGCCTTTTAACATAATGCTTTGCCCTGGAGACTTAAGGAGTTGAGCTTTTTTTCTCTGAGGTTTAGATCTGTTTCTCTAGGGAGAGCCAGTTGAAATCAGAGCTGGGAGAACTGGAGTCTAGTGTTAACAGGGTCTGGGGCAGCAAGAGAACAGAGCAGGGTAGAGACTCAGTGCCAGGAAGAGGTGCAGGGGGAGGGGGTCGCAGGTGGAAGTAGAATGGGGGCTGAGGCATAAAGGCATCTGGGAGGCAGCAGTCTTGTGTCCTTCCTGGGAGTAAATGCAGAAGAGGGACCTGCAGGTGAATAACTGGTTCTATGAGAGTAAACCCAGGCCTAAGGCCTCAGCATATATGTGCCACAGTTTTGAAGAACGCCAGCTGGGCAAATGATCACACCCACCAGCAGCCCCTCTCAGCATCAGTGAGTGCGTTCTTAATAAAGGACTAGCCATCTGAGAAGGCAGATGTGTGTCTGAAGGGGCTGGGAAAGGCTCCTGGTACCAGCAGGGCATCTCCTTGGAAACAGGAAGGAGTCCACCTGTATGGTTCAGTTGGGAGCCTGAACTTTGGTTGCTGGCTTTTGGTGAGGGAAGTCACCACTTTTGGGACTGCCTCCCTTTCTGGGCCCAGCTGCCTCTATGTCTGTAGTAGGAAGAGGTTGGGGTAGGGAGGGATAGAGGACCACAGCCAGGCTTAGCACCACCTGGAGACCTGGAATGAAGTCAGGCTCTGCTGTGACTGAGGAGATAGACTGCCCTTGACTGGAATCTCTCTGGGAACCTTTCCAGCAAGCATTTCCTCACCCTTTCCTGGAGAGGGTTGCTGTGGGGCTATGAGGCTGGTGGGTAGTCCTAGGCTGGTGAGCTCCTGGGACTGGGTAACAGCACAGCCTTTAGGAAGATGTGTCTCTTTAGCCCACAGCCTTGTGAATATCTCCATTCTTTAGTTTCACCCAGAGTTCCAGACAGCAAGACAAGACTGGCTCAACTGTGGCACCACCTGACCCCCAGGCATCCACCACTTCTTAAAAAGCCTTGTTTTCTTTCTGGGGTATCTCCTAGAAGGAGGTTGGTGATATCCAACCTCCCAAATTCTTACCTGGGAGCCGAGTCAAGGGCCTTCGTTGGTCACAGCATCTCACCGGGGTGATGCTGACCAGTGTGTGAAGTGATTGCACTGACTTTTTTACACTCCAACTGACTGCACTGTGCTCCCTTTTGTAGATGAGGAAACCAGATTTCCTGCCAGGACTTGGGAGGCTGGAGGAATGTTGTTACCCATGGAATGCCCTTCTGTCCATGCTTGGTGGCCATCCTTGCCCCCCTCCTCCACTCAGCAGCCCACCTACCAGCTCTGGCCCAAAAGGGTGGTGTGAAAGCAGCCCCAGGGTGGCTGAGTCTCACTTGGCTTTGGTAATGTCCTTTTCCTCCCTGACTAAGCTCTACGAGGAGGATAGTTGTGCAGTGTTAACAGGCAAGGCAGTGAGACAAAGGCTAACCTAGACTTTTTGCAATAGTCCCTGAGACACCTTTTTTCTTCCCCACTAGCCCATCTTGCCCATCTTGCCCTACACATTGTGCACAGTTCTTGTAGAATCCCAGGGCCTGACGAGGTGAGGGGAAGCAGGAGAACCTAGGTCATGGAGGTCTTTAGACCCCAGGATGATAGACTTATGAGGACCTGCCTGGAGCAGCAGAGCTGTGTGAGGGGATGGCCTGAGTTATCTGGTAAAGAGGCCCCTGTGCATTTATACCACCTTCCCCAAGGCTGCCCTTTTCTTTTTTATTGAGATATTTCCCACATCATAAAATTCACCCATTTAAAGTGGGTTTTGCCCAGCCAGGCATGGCTCAGTGGTTGAGTATTGACCTAGGATCCAGGAGATTGCAGTTCGATTCCAGGTCAGGGCACATGCCCGGGTTGTGGGCTCGATCCCCAGTTGGGGGTGTGCAGGAGGCAGTGGGTCAGTGACTCTCATCATTGATGTTTCTATCTCTCTTTCCCTCTCCCTTCCTCTCTCTGAAATCAATAAAAATATATATTTTAAATAAATAAGTGGGTTTTAATATATTCACAGGGTTGTACAACCACTATCAAATTATAATTTTAGAACATTTCAACACTCCCAAAAGAAACTCTATATACATTATCAGTCACTCCTAGTCCCCCTCTCCCTGTAGCCCTAACCAACCACAATCTACTTTCTGTCTCTGTATTTGCCTATTGTGGGAAGTCCATATAAATGGAATCATATGTGGTCTTTTGTGACTGGTTTCACTTAGTATAATGTTGTTTGTTTGTTTGTTTTTTAATATATATTGATTTCAGGGAGAGGGGGAGAGAGAGAGAAACATCAGTGATGAGAGAGTCATTGATCGACTGCCTCCTGCACACCCCCTACCAGGGACCAAGCCCACAACCCAGGCATGTGCCCTGACCGGGAATCGAACCTCAGTCTCCTGGATCCTAGGTTGATGCTCAACCACTGAGCCATGCCCAGCTGGACTAGTATAATGTTTTCATCCGTGTTGTAGCATGTGGCCAAGTAAATTTTATTGTAGGGATATACCACATTTTGTTTATTGATTCATTAGTTGAACATTTGGGTTAATTCTACTTTTTAACTACTTTGTAAAATGCTGCTATGAATAGTCATGTACAAATTTTTCTGTGGACATATATTTTCATTTATCTTATGTATATACCTAGGAGTAGAATTGCTGGGTCATAATTGTTTTGAGGAACTACCAGACTTTTCCAGAGCAGCAGCATTGTTTTATATTCCCACCAGCGATGTGTGAGGGTTCCAGTTTCTCCATATCCTTGTGATCACTTGGTATTTTTTGTTTTATCTAGCCATCCTAGTGGGTGTGAAATGGCATTTCATTGTGGTTTTGATTAGCATTCTGTAATGGCCAGTAATGTTGAGAGTTTTTTGTGTGCTTATTAGCCACTTGTATATCTTCTTTGGTCTATTTAAGTTTTTTGCCTAATTTTTAATTGTTTTTTTTATTACTTTTTAATCCTCACCCAAGGATATATATGTGTGTGTGGGTTTGTGTTTGTGTGTGTGTATATACATATATATATATATATATATATATACTGTC